GCGATGATCACATTTCACTTTCATCTACAACCGCAGTACAAAAATGAATTATTTCATATAAACTTCGCTGTGTATTGTGTTGGGTACCCCCTCTAGGAATACTACAAATGAAAGTCAGCTGAATAGCATTGAAGAATGGGAAAGGAACATAGCGTCCTACAATGACTTATCGTAACATGTAAAACTATTTGCTGAAATCAGAGAAATCGCTGTTCTGAGTTAATTGACACAGTGAGAGATTGTGGTGCTTACTAGAGATTAATACAACGGCGTGTGTTGAATATGTAGGAGCATTTAACGCGATATGTCAGGAGTGAGTGAACCTTTTTTAACAATAGTACAAAAGTCGTTTTAGAATGATTATTTCATAACGTGCACGTGACATAACTACATAGTGTAAATAGCTAGTAATAAAGTAACCTACAAGTAAAAATGGATAAAATATATGAAATGAATAAGCCAAAAGTAGACACATTCCAATACAAAATGTTCTTTAATGATTTAAGATAATTTCAAATTAAACACCGGAAATCTTTGCTACCGCCTGGCTATCGAATGTGTGAATAAGCTGATTTAAAAATCTGAATTCCTTAAATTTGGGATTAGATTTCACCTTTCTATAAAATTGCCTTAAAACTTCAAGAGTCTTAATCTGAGACAAAAATCTACTATACAGCGCCGTTATAACGAATATAATTGTTCAAGAAATAGGTGGGAAATCGCGAAATAACGGCCTTGTTATGTCCTCTTAAGTTATACAGATCGTTGCGCCACACAGCTAATCTGGAATAAATCGGGGTATATTATCGCTAACTTTGTTGTGCAATAGTTAACCAGGGTTTAGTTTATACAGATCATAAATCGAGTGCCATCGAGTGAGTTCCATAACTGCTTCTGAAAGTGTATCCCGTGGCAAATTGAAAATTGTTATTCCAGAGACAGTGTGGTGGTTGCAGGGATTTCTTGTAATCTAGGTTGTTACAGTTTCCCCAGACAGTGATATCATCCGTCACAGAGGTGAGAATCATCATAAAATATGAATCAAGAAAAGATTTCCTCTTTGGGAAAGAGAAATGTTTTAATAAGTTCACTTTGGAGACAAAGTTGTTCTTTAATTCCGTAGGATGCTCCGTTTAAGAAAGTCTTCGGTCTATAGTGATACCCAGCAGCCTTGCGTGACATATCCACGTAACGCCAACGTTACCAATAGTAATCATAGAGTATGGACCAAAGAAGGTTCCCCGGTGTAACAATAATGATTATATCGCATTTTGAAGAGTGAGGTGTTAACGAGTTAGTCAGGAACCATTTATTAAGCTCGCCAAGTGCGTTGTTTGATTGTTTACATACTTCATCAAAGGTTGAAGCGATGCAGTGAACTGTAGTATCGTTAGCATACAGGTAGAGATCGCCTGTTGTCACAGCCTCCGGCATGTCACTAGTGTACAAACTAAACAAACATAGGCCCAGCACTGATCCTTGTGGGATGCCGCAAGTTGCATTTAGCTCCTCTGACTGAGTGAAGTTTACAACCATAACCTGTGAGCCAAGAAAGGAGATTGGCCCCGATTCTAAATTTGATCTTCAATTTATGTAACTGTGTACTTTAAGAGACGCAGTCTAAGGCCTTACAACAATCAATAACAGCGGTAGCGGGTGAGATATTGAGTCAAATTAACTATCTTCAAACACAGTAGGAAAGATCGAATTTATTAATGAATCAAAACAAAACAGAAAATCCACAATCCGAGAAAGGAAAGTCGTAGAGAGCGTGGGCGAAAGCGCTCAAAATGTGAAACAGGCATGCTACGCATGCAGTATAACAGAGTTATTTTTGAAAACAGTAGAACTCAGTTCCATTTGAATTTTTTTCAGGATTTTTAGGATTTATTTTTGTATTATGCGGTTAGAATACATGATAAAATGCAGGTTGTTGACAAGGAAATGACACGAGATAGAGGTCTGTCTAATGTGTCGAAATGGAATTTGATTGGTGATCTGATCGGTGCGAACAACATACCACTCTACATGCTAGCAAACGGGCTGGGTAGATTACATCTGGAAACTTTCTGTACCGAGCTCAGCCACGAGGCTCCCAGTTCGAATAAGTGAAGCCAGTACTTTCAGCGAAAAATGTCAAAATGCTTTTCTTGCATTAGTGTGGAATAATAGACGGACATTTCTCAAGTTTCAACCTTTCAACAGTTCGACAGCTTTCGAATTTTTGAAAAAGGTCAACTTTCCCACTTGTTCAAAAACATTTTCATGGTAGCGATCAGAGCCGCTTGCAGACACGTTAAACGTTCACTAATATTTTTTCACTCATTTTAAGGAGAGGCTTCCGGTAGATTACATTGAGCGTTGGTTGGAAGTGATTCAAGGTGATGTTTTTGCTGTAGTATTCAAATCTTTGTGCATGTGTTGTGCAATACTGTTTGATCTTAAGAGGAGTGATGAAAATCCCGCTTTCACAAGTCATCAAATACTTTACTTTTTAATGTGGACTCAACAAAAGCTTGGGTTATGTTCACAATTCCACATCTTACTTGAATATTAAGTCTTTCCGTTCTCAGTAAAAGTAATAAGTAACGTTCAGATCTATTCAGTCTTTCGCTGACGAAAGGAAGTGATTCGTATTCAATGAGTTGCTGCTAATCGGATACTCGTGATTGTGCAAATTAAAGGTGTCTGGGATCTGGAACTTAGAATTCTCTCTCATTCGACTGTTAGGTGAGTATCTCACGCACTTATAAGATTCTCTTTCATTGGATTATTACGTTAGTAATCGCAGACTTTTAGGTTTATCTTTCATTAGATAGGATTGTCTAACATTGGATTGCTGCGTTAGTGTCTTCCACACTTATAAGATTCTCTTTTTTCGGATTTTTACGTTAGTACCTCGCCTACGGATTTTTACGCTAGTACCTCGCGCGCTTTTAGAATTCCCCTTTAGAGTTCTAGCCTTAAGCGCACTCTTAGCAGGGGTGGATCCAGGATTTTGAGTGAGTAGTTTCCACCCGAGGACCCACTCCTGCTAGGGGGGTTCGGGGGCATGCCCCCCCGAGAAAATTTGAAATTTGGAGCTCTCTAAAGGCCATTTCATGCATTTTTAGAAAATTTAATTGCTCCCAAAAGACTAAAAAAGCATGTAATCAAAAAGGCAAAAAACATTTATTTTTCTTGAAAGTACTACAGGAAACACTCTGATCTACAAATATTCCACCTTTAGCTACTGTGCAAACCAGTGTATATAGTGTTTTCAGGAAGGCCAAGTCATCACCAAGACTTTTCACACTGGAAAACATCACCTCCCAGTCAGGAAAATCAAGATGTGGAGAAAAAAAAACGAACCAAGTGTTAGTGTTTTTGATAACAAAAGAAAAACAAGCACAATTGATGATATAGTTTAAAGATTGATAAAAAAAATCTACTTGCATTTTTCATCCTTGGGACCACAGGCTTATCATCCATAAAACCCTTCTCTCTCTCAAATTTCTTCTGTGTTGTGCTCCTATAATGAATGAAATGAATGAAAGCCAGGCTCAATAAATCCAAATGTTTAGCAACACTAAAAACAACATTTCCTGAGCTGGCTTTTATTCATTTCATTTATAGGAGCACAACACAGAAAAGAATTTGAGAGAGAGAGAAGGGCTTTATGGATGGTTAGCCTGTGTTGGGAGCTGGAATTCAAAAAATAAAACAATTATTAGAAAAATATAAATTATAAGAATCATAAAATGATATACAAATTGAAGTAAAATGATAATTTGAAATAATACTAGCCTTTCTTCATCCTTGGGAATTGCTGTGAAGCTGGTTGAGTTCAGTGAAAATGTTTGTTAACCATTTAAGCTTAACATGAAAACCCAATGTCAATGTCAATGTCAATGGAAAATCATCACAAGTAAAACAAAATAGAAAATAACCTTGAAATGAGTTGAAAAAAGTTATACAGGCACCAGTTTGAGCTTCTGTACTGTTCTCCATCAGTTTAAGGATTATGAGACTTAAAGGCCATAACCCAGACAGAACATAACTCACAAGTACTCTAGAAACAGCTGGTGCAAAAAATTATTACAAAATGTTTGCCATTCTCATTCTCCTAGGATGTAACTCAGCAAATAAATCTATTATACGTTCAAGGTCAAAATCCATGTCTCTGTGGGCATGCATCAGTGCCAATCCATTCAGTCTGTCCTGGGTCATTGTATTTCTCAAATAGTTCTTAAGATTCCGAAGGGATGATATGGATCTCTCACAAGATGCAGATGAAATTGGAATTGTGATCAGGACTTTCAGCATGGAATAGATGTTGACATATGCATCTTTGTCAATATCCTTCAGTGTAGCCTCCAAACTGTCAGGAATAATATCTCCTCTGTTATCCCTCCCCTTCCACAATCTCTCCCATAACAAAAGCTCTGCCTGTAATCCTGCATAATTTGGTATGTCCTGTCTGTAATGGTTACAAAATTCCAAAACATTGGCCTTCCAGGCAGGGTCAGTAGCTAGTAAAACAGAGGGAATAATCGAAATACCTTTAATACCTTTTATAATTTGTCTAACTTATTAGCGTTTCGCCCACACTGAACTCCAAAACAAACACAAGCTAAACAAAATGCTCCATCGAAATATTTGGAGTAAGCTAGCCATGGAAATCTTTTCAGCCAGCCCGAGACAAACTTACGAGATTTTCCATTTTCCATTGACACGGGGAAATCAAAAAGCTCACCTGGTTTCCACACGTTTTCGACGAACTCCAGCTTCTGATGCGGCGAGTAGTTGTGGATCTCGTCGAAAACTAGGCCAATGTCGAAGGGAGAACAATCCTCCCTCCGACAAACAGGATCTCCGCGAGTCATAACACTAGTATTTTTTAAACGTTTAACAGTAAATTCCGTCGTTAACCCCTGAGCAAGTTCAAAAGTACTTGTATTGTAGGAGCAACGAAAGAGACCCGCTGGGGGAGGAACTGCCCTTTTTATACTTTGTCAGTAGTTTCCAAGGTAGTTTCCAAACACAACTAGCCAATCAGAAGAGTGTTTGAGTGAGTTCCGATGACGAAATCTTTGCTAGCCAATCGTGAGGGGTTTTGACTGTGTTCCGCCTGTTATTGTCACCAAATAACAAGGACTTACACCCACCGGTTGCGTAAAGATTGGCTCCACGAACATTTTCCGACGGCTTCCGACGGTTTCCGAGGTGTAATCGAAGCTCGAAAGGCCAGCGCGTGATCCGGAGCGCTCCCGAACGCCTCATGACCGCAATTATAACGAAATTAGTCATTCTAAACGTATTTTCTTTAATAAATAACTGTTAAACAGGAAGATGGTTTATTTCTGGAAGACGTTTAGTGATTTCCACAAAAGTATCAGTAGTTTCCAAAGGGAAATTAGAGTGTTTTCCAAAAGTACTTTTATCAACATTTAACTAGGTCGGAAAAATTTGAGTGAGTTCCGGAAATCAGGTAAACTACCCTGGATCCACCCCTGCTTAGGATTTTTAAGCATAGATCATAGATAAGATCGTCGTTGATTCCGATGTTCAAAATGTCACCTTTGTTGGCTTAAATCAGTAAAAATGACGATAAACTAAGCATCTTTGGAAACCTAGAGACTAGTTTTCCTTTTTGCAGAGACCTCCAGATCTAAAAATGTTGATTAAGTGGGGAGATTCGACGGCTAATATAAAGTTGCCATTTTGACGATTGACGGTTAATATGTATGTTTTTGATGGCTAAATTTTAACGTAGCTCAAACACTCAGTTGGGGATCTCCGTTTAGAATCTTAGTCCAGGCTCTCATTTTGTGTTCTCAGTCATTCTTCTTAGCTCATGCTCGCAGTTTCGACTCGCAGTTCAGGCTTGCAGTTTAGGCTCGCAGTTCATGTTCGCAGTCCAGGCTCGTAGTTCAGGCTCGCAGTTCAGGCTCGCAGTTCAGGCTCGCAGTTCAGGCTCGCAGTTCAGGCTCGCAGTTCAGGCTCGCAGTTCAGGCTCGCAGTTCAGGTTCGCAGTTCAGGCTCGCAGTTCAGGCTCGCAGTTCAGGCTCGTTCTTGATCTGCGTTCTTGTTCTGCGCTCATGTTCTGAGCATGAACGCATATCTGAACAATATCTCAGACATTCATTGGTTGAAATTATATATTTATCAAATAAAAGACAATTAATTGCAGACAAAACATTTATTGGCGCGATTTGCTTTTGAAATAACAATCAATTGCATCTTTTGTTAGCCATTTGCATGAAGTTAAATATCTTTTAGTGACGGGACAAACACTCAAGAATTTGGGCTCCATTCGGCTCAAATTCGTGAGGAAAGTCATGGCTCTTCCCTCCCTGTCTCGATCGAAATACATCAAAGACTTGTGGAATTAAGCTTTTTACACACAAGTTTAGGCTTCTCCAGGTAATCGGTGTGAAGAGTTCCATTGAGAGAAAACAAAGGAGGGAAAAAGGCACACATCCTATACCAAACATTAATTGAATTTCTCTCTGGTCAAATTTCAAACTTCAATCCTTAAAAGCACTTCTGACTAAACTTTCAGTTTACTCAATCTGAAAAAAAAAATTTTCGAAAGTTCCTAACTCTTAAATTTCACCTTAATGGTTGAAGTTCAACAAAATCTACTGCGAGTACAAGTTCCATGAAAGGGAAAAACAGAAAACAGATAGAAAAGTCACCCTTCCTTCATAACCACTGATAGTACTGCGACATGCCGATGCCCGCAAGGAGATGCAATATGTTACAACCAATCTTGGAGGGTTGGCAACAAAGCACTTGATATTCTACACTATTAAAATACTAGTCAACCATTGAAAACACAAATATAAATAGGAACTATGTTGTTGGTCCAAACCAAGGCCACGAACACGAACAGGAACTATGTTGTTCCTGTTGCTCATTGCAAATATACTAAATATTTTAATGAATCTGGTGTAAAGGTATGTAAGTTCAAAGCTAGACAGCTAGGCATAACAGCTACCCAGGAATCACAACTTGGGGGGCTAGGTTTACCTCCTGGGCCCAGTTTTTCGAAATCCGATTAGCGCTAACCCAGGGTTAAATTTTAATCTGGGTTTCTATACTTCTTTGTTCGATAGCCTTTTTGGGATCATTTTCTCTACTCTATATGGAGCATCCAATCATCAAATTGTTGACAAAAAGAATTATACTGAATTTTCCTTAAAAGCTTCCAGAGCTGAAATCCGATTTCACACTAACCCTGGGTTATCTAAACCCAGCTTTGAACAACCCAGCCCTGGACAACTAACTTTACAGCAATAGTAAAGCAAGCTGTGAAATGGGTATACACTCTCGCTTTTCTTTAATTTTTGTTAGCACATGAACGATGTTGACTTTGTAAATAACTGGGTAATTCAGTGTTACCAACTGAGTTGATAATGCAAACTGGCTACCATAAAGAGTTTCGGTGCAGTACGGTGGCCAATTTTCGTAATCAACTCAATTGATAATACTAAATTACCCTGTTACACTCTCCCGCCGACGCAGCACCACAGTTTCTTTAGAAACTTACCCCCTTTATTCATTTTTAAATAACTGGTTGCTCAGAATAAGTGCGATGAGAAAAAAATCTATATATATATATATATATATATTTTTTTTTTTTTTTTTTTTTTTTTTTTAATGTGGCACCCTCTGCGGTGCTTTTTCTCCTAAAGTAAGTTATTGGCTCTCGTGCTCCACGGACTCCAGCCGATGAACTTCGTCATTGAAAGCTTATGTGGTAGCCAAATTGAATTCCACGAGCTGAATTCCAACATGATTCTGAGAAGATAAATTCATGAAGGAAAACCTAAGAAAAACTCTGTTTGGGGAAAACAATCAAAGAATGATATTCAAGTAACTTTAATGACCAGTGACATTTCTTTTTTTTCCAATCATAATTTAACAGTGATGATCAAACCACTTCGCCCGGCATGTGGCTATGGTCATTCTAGGATGACAGAAGTCTGTCATCCTGCCGGAAAATAATACCTCTGCAACAACAGCTCCTTGTTCTGTTTGTTTCTAAACTTGATTTTCAGTCTGGACATGCTTGCCGAGTATTTAGGAATGTACTGTTCTAACACAGGCTGTCAATGGAAGGGTAGGCGGGAGAGTGCAATTGCGTGTTGAAAAATGCCCTATTCTTCACACATCGACTGTCCGTTGGGGCGCAACACAAAACTACCAAAGTAAATCCTCACCATTGGCAAATAACTGAGACAAATCTTTAATGGGGTTGTATGCTCCCGAAACCATAAAATCATAAATTAATTTTTCCAAGCCTAAAATCGGAGCTCCAGTTGGTTAATTCTTTCAGTCTTTCACTACTAAAATAAAAAATGAGTCGAGAAACGACCATATCAACTGGGGGAGGGGAGATGAATTCCTTATTGTATACTTTTTGGAATGCATTAAATTTCAAGTGAAAAGTAGCAACTACCAATTAGCTATTTTCCTGATGATATGCACTTGTGTGTATATTCTACATTTCAACTGCCATAATTGCAGAAACAAGAGGCTGTTTTAAACACAACAATGGTCAAGATAAAACAGTTCCTTTGACAAGATATCCCACCGATTCTATTTTATGATTATTTTAGATTTATGATGTATGTGTTAAATGATTGATTCTTTCATTTCACATTCCCTGCAAGGGGGGTGACTTAAATGTATCACATCGCTCCTTTAACATTGGAAATTATGTCTGCGATAATCGAACGGAAGGAGAAATCTTAATATGGAGGAGTTGTTTGATCAATTAGGATGAATTCTCGTTGGTTCTGTTTGTTTTTTTACTATCTTCCATGCTTAAAAGGATGACAAAGGGTTTATACGAGACTATGATTAAGGCCAAAATTTATATGTGACACGTGAATTTTACAGAAAGGCGAGCTTGATTCGTGAATGTATGAACCAGCTTAAGGTGTGATTTGCCTCCTAAAGTAAATGTGACCCATAATTGTCTTCTCTCAACTCGTGAAAACCTCATGATTTCCCTGAAAACTTTTATGCAAGAAGAAAGATTTGAAGTTCCCCTTTCATTTACGTGACGCGTGAATTTTTCCAATAATCGTACTTGAAACGAAATCAGCATCCGCCCCTCCCTCCCCCCTCCCACTTTCCTTCCCTCTTAACATGGCTTATCAAAACCTCGACATTTGGTAATAGACCTCAAGGGTAGGGATAAAAATCACGCTTTCACAAGTCAACGAACAATTTTTTAATTTGGACCCAACAAAGCCCTGCATAATATTCACAATTCCATATCTTATTTTACTTGCATGGTTTCCATAGGTTTCTAAATTTGTTTCATTTTCATCTAATTTTCAACCGTGACCAGGGCTTCTTCGTGGTATACTTGTAACATTGGCTAATCAGTATGCAGGTATGTCAAATCTCATGACTTCATTTTATCATTAGTAACGAGTGAACAGACCAGGATTTGCTGTAAACAAATGCCATGTAAGATCATTTTCTCATTGAGATTGGGTTTGTTACGTAACCCCACATGTCAGTGTTTTGAATTTTTCACACTTTTATTTCGCGCCATATGCAAATCCGGCTTCTTAGGTCTGTTTCTTTGCTTTAGCTTTTATTTTGCCTTGTTGCTTTGCGAGTCTCGTTTTCTGCGTCGTTGAAGTGACGAGTTTCGTTCCCCGCGTCACTGCAGTGGTAAGTTCGTTTCCCGTCTTCGCATACATATCGTTCAGTATTTTCGTTTTTCTTATGAGTGCTTGTATGAAGTATTTTCCTCTTTCTTCGTGAGTCAAGTACAATGCTTCAAAGACCTTAGTTGAAGACCTTAGTTCCGTGCTTTGTTTGTCGATGAAACATTCTAACACAACAAATTATTGTTAAATTCCTGGCTCAATGATGATGAAGATAATTTCATGTTCTGAGATTATGCTCGCAATTCATGTTCCCAGTTTAGGCTCGCAGTTCGGGTTCAAAGTCTAGGACCTCAGTTCATTTTCAAAGTCTAGCACCTCAGTTC